ATCACTCTTTTCGGTGTTTTTTTTTCAGTGTAGTCTTTTTCTTAGCACTGACGCTTTCCCGCTCTTTCTACTCTCCTGATAACATTTCCTAGTCTGTCATTCAGACAGTCGTCATTTTTAAGGGATGCGTTTTCAACCTCTCTATACTCAGGCTTTTCTCCCACATAACCCTGTGAGTTTCATTCTTCCTCATACGCTATGTTTTTGCTCAGAGGTGTACAAACCATCTGTGCCTCTAATACAATGTTCTTAAATAGCCTCCAGGCAGATCTCTGTGGTTTTTAAGTACTTCTCTTTGCCCTTCAGCCTGCTGTTGACTATTTTCCTCTTAGTTTTATAATCTGCCCTTTTAAAGTTTGTTGTTACTATGTTGTCCCTAAGGGAACAACTCTTTTATGATATCAAAACTAAAAGTGTGCAGTGATCACCGTTACCCCACGGAGGCTTGACAACACCTTCCTCTAATAACTTCTGCCTATTACAAGGTAGCTCCCTCTTGCCCATGGCCTTAATTAATCAGGCATTGCGCTGAGGACTGCCATGGGAGTCAAGGAAAAGGAATCCTTTGCCATATGGATTGGAGTGGCACCAAAGCCACTTTACATCTCCTGACAGAGGAAAAACTGCTTTTGCCAGCTGTTGCTTTACCTCCAACAAAAAATAAGGAGCGATAGCAGGGTAAACACTGTAGAATTCAATCTTGCGTCATTTTCCTGATTGGTCCCATCCATTTTCCCCAGGAGGAAGTTACTTCCCAGGGGCTGGCTCTGAGATTTTGTAGGTTCTCAAAATCTTGAGGAAGTCTACAGGAGGCTGCAGTCACTCACGTAAAACCCTGTGGTGTTTCTCCCCTGGTTTTAATGGCTACCCTTGTGACTGCTGCCTCTGGAATGCTCTCAAGGAAGTGGGGCGGGAGGGGAGGTCTACGACATGAAAAATCTCTTTGCAGATTAACACCTCGCTCTAGGAATGGGAAGAAAGGGATGATAATGAAGAGGCAGTTGATACACCAGCCTTTCTGTTTGCTGAATGCACAAAGGATTCATTTATGGCATCTTGCCACAGGAGAAGGCTATAGGCTATTAACCAACTTCAGTGGGCAAACGCTTGCTGAGACTGCATATGATACCTCTTGTGCTGTACCAAAGGTAATGACTCATCTTCA